CCATATACCGGGCACATTTTCAGACTCCGTGCTACTACTGAAAACCACAGTAATACCTTGCCCGACCAGGTAATTGAACTCAAGACCCCTTGTCCGGCAGTCGTATTTGCGACCACTCGGCTAATGAGGCAGTCAAACCAATATAAGTGAAAAATCCAAAAATTTGACGTTCAGCTGTATTTGCATTTTTTCAATTCATTCGTACAGATTACATAATAATATCGAGCTATAGGAAACCAGTTTCCCATAATCTTACTTTTTAAGACCTTTACACACATTCGACAGTCAGTAAATATATACAGGTTAGGTAGATGTAACAATAAAATCAACAACTGACAAATGCCAATAAGCGCTTGACTATATTTAGAATAGAAAACTAAATTATATGGAATTGACGTAAATTTTGACACTTGTCAGTGTCATCTGGGGATGGGGATATCAGATGGGGATTTACATTCAGTTTTCTACTCTCTCTATATACAACCGCTAAGTTGGCGTTTGGCTAAAGGCACCGAGTAGATACCTATAAATGGCGGATTGCGTTATCAGATATTTGACACCGAAATATTGCAAAAATTAAAAGGTTACGGCCATGACATGATCAAACATGATCACTACAAATATAAACAAACAACCACATGTTTATTTTGCATAGTGATCATAAAGTGCACTCAAATAAGGTAACCAGCATGTTATTCTACCATCTCTTGTGTTTCATCATCGATTAAAGTAAATGCTTACGTCATCTATTTACGTGTTATTTACTTATATATTTATGCCATTACATTGCATGTATATAAAGACGGCAGCAGATAAAACTATCCTAAACTGTCAATCGATTTTCCGCTCTATTGCAAATGACTATGATGAAAAATGTATCAATGACATTTAGGTTTTGGTATATGTTGATGTGATGTCTGTATATAATGATTTATTTTTGTACCAGGAAAGGACAAGTCGCAGATTTTTATATTATTTTCGAAGGTCTTTTAAACCTTTTTAAAGTGCAGGGTTTTATTTTCTTCGAATAAGAGGATGTTTTAATTGAAAATGACACGAGATTTTACTCGTTTTTCCTTAAACATGTTAATAAACAAAAGAGAATACCTACTTACAATGTTGTGTTTATTTTGCGAAAAAAAGATGTTCTGATGTATGATTTGTAGCGTCAGTGTTATTTGAATAAACAGCATAATTAGTGGTTATGATTCATATTGCGAGTTAATATCTACTAATGATGATATCAATAGAAATGCTATTATTAGGCTATTAAATTAATGAAGCCCTCATTTAATGGAATTCTGTGTTTAATAAGAATTGTAATCAACACACTTTTATATGAATAGTACAAAATGTTCTTCATCTTAAAACCTTTATTAAACATAATTTTAAACAATAGTCGTCTACTTACGTACAGTTCTAATATTCCACGTGTTCAATTATAACAATAATAATAAATAGGTATAATAAAAACGTTTCGTATACCATCGAACTCATACCACAATTAGCAACAAGTGACTATTAGACTCAGCAAGGAAATTCAGCGTAATACTTTGCAAACAATAGACATATAAACGTATACTAAGACTTGGACAATACTGTACAATGTAATATGTAGAAAATTCTATCTACATAGTATAGAGAAGACACTCTCACAGTTGTACACAACAAGCACTGGAAACCATCTCGTTATCTCCACCTTACTATCACTGAAGTATTCTCTGCTTCTAAGCATTGTCTTTTATTTTCCAAGTATATTTTGCAAGCCATTGCATTTTCTATACGTACGTGTCTCGTAGGATTCTCTCAGTTTATCGTATGAGAAAATGTTACGTCTCCTGTATATAGTTCGTTCTGTTTATATTTTTTTATTAATACAGGTTGCGTGTTGTAGAATTTTTCTTGTTTTGGTTTTAAGGTTTTGTTGTTGACTCGATCAGTTTTGATCTACACTAGCCCTTTGAGTACCGTCATTATAGACACAATTAAAGAACAATAGGTTGCGGTCACCGATGTCCTCGCGGTGTTTGACAGTAGGAGCCTATAATCATAAAGAATATATGCGACATTACAAATGGTTTAAAGCCTTCGTAATGGAGATAACAGTAATGATAGTTTTAGGTAAGGTTATAAATAGATACAAAATACGATGATCAACATGAATTGCTTCCTTTTTGAAGAAAAATAAGAAACAAATACTATAATTGTAACTTTAAGTTCAATTCAACTTGTTACTTTCTCGATCATTCGATTTGTTGGCTCACGAAAAACTGACTATACGTAGGTACCCCTATACGTAGATAGTGCACGTTGATTGGCTGTAATATCGTTGCGCTAGTGGAAGTGGTCAATCAGTCCATGTGACCTGCAAGTCTAGATAGTCTAGATCCAGGCTAGGCTACCTAACCTATTACCTAACGCGTAATATCCCGTCTTGACTTAAACTATGTAGTTATGTACACAGATTTTTTATTATACTAGGTGACGTTTGTGGCTTTCCCCGTTTTAAATTCTGTTTACTTAAAACTATGACTATCAGTTTGTTTTCCTAGAAAATATTTGTGTGTAGGAAGTCTTTTGTGATTTAAAATTGCGTATTTTTGTTTGTGTATGTAGCTCTTGACCTTTGATACTAGTCTTGTTCCGAAGTAACGGAGACATAGTCAAGGATGGAGTTAGGTAACCTAAAAGAAGGTAGTCTATTTTACTTTGTTAGTTCATCCTTATGTTTCTAAAAAAGTCGCCTATCACGCTTACGACTAACGAAGCGTATCCAATTTTTCACTGAATGTTAGGCCGAATAATAAGAGGCCAGAATTACCCTTTGAGTACCGTCATTATAGACACAATTAAAGAACAATAGGTTGCGGTCACCGGTGTCCTCGCGGTGTTTGACAGTTTAAAAGATGAAATGCATCCTTTACTTTGCATACTAAGTTCTTCTGAGCTATCATTTATTTAATTTAAAATGATCTGCAGTAGAAACATACAGACAGAATTACTCTTAGTTTTTACTTTAATATTATTTGTAGTTATGTATACGTATTAAATATGTCCGCTTTTTACTATCGTAGGTGGCACGTAATAGCACGTAATAGAGTCCAATATAATGCTGTAATATAAAACTGCTTTAAATTAAAATAATTTATGGAATGGGAAACTTTAATAACAGCAATGATCACATCTTCATGTGGTATATTGATTAAATATGTTTTCATTACATTATTGATGTTGGATTTCATAATTATCTGGATTAATGGATTTTTCAATATCAATATTCTCTCCAGATAAAATCAAAATCCTTTTTTTACTATGCAGATGTCTATTTACAGACTCTCTTTATAGGTTTTAGGAATAAAGACTTTACTGCTTATGCATTACATTTGTTTTTAAACTAAACACTTTCCTTGGATGCACATCACTGCATTTGTCATTAGATTTTTCGTTTTCTATCTAGATTATAACAAGTCAGGAATTGTTCCGTAAACCGGCGTCGCAATCCATTGACTTTGTTCAATTTTCAAAGTCAAAAGAGTTGAAATTATCTAAATTGTTTTACACAGTACAGTTAGATTAGGTATAGATGCCAGCAAATCAAGGTTTTTTTTAATAATAAGTAGAATACTAAAAGATTTTCAACTTAAGTATGGTAAATAACAAAGTCGAAATTTCTTTTAATGAAAATAATAGTGGAATAGCTTGATGCGCTGTGCAAAAACGATGCCTATTGCTTATTAATATTAGGTATATTTGTGTCTGTCGATATTTAGACCATATTTTTCTGTGCCTAATGAACTACTAAGATTAGATAATATTGTCAAATAAATTATCTTTAATGATAACATTCCTAAGATTATTCATTTGTTTTAAACTACTTCAACATTCATTTAAAAATTACTTATTTGACCAAATTAATTATAGTTATATGATATTCACTGTTATCTCGAGGTAAACAGATAAAATGGTTACCGTCGATTACTTTTCATTACAATTAGAGTTTATCAAATTGTAAACTGTAGGTACTTTATGAAGGTTTCAGTTACAATACACAATACACAGGCGAAGGTCGTGATTTCCTCTTTGATACAATGTTTTTACAAAGTTCTTTATGTTGTAGGTGTTTTTGTATGCATCCCACTGATTTGTAATAGATAAAAATACTGGTTATAAACCACACTGTAGGTATATTTTAATTCCAATAATCACTATTTGCTTTGTTTGTTATAAATTTTAATAGAAGTTAGTAGCGACGGACAATAAGACTGCATCTGCTTAAATATTATTCTCGACATCTGCACCTACATAGCACTCAGTAACCGTGCAATAAAACCACAACACGACACACTGAATCATCACAAACAAATAACCAAACTCACCAAACAGTTTTATTGCTTAATGAATTCAACTTAGAATTATGTTTGCGTCCTATCCGATCCTAATAAGTTATAGAAGCCATTGTGTTTTCGAGTTCCTTCCCCGTTATTCCTCCCTAAAATGGTAAGATGCGTGTGTGCAATATTAATTAGCAATATACGTTTTGAAGTGCGCTCGATGATAATACAGTCGGACAGTATTGGTAGCGGGCGGCGGCGAGCCGGCTCCCTTCGCTGTGTAGAGTCGCGCGCGCACCACGAGCGTACACGTCTCCGCGTAAAAATAAAGTCCACGGCCCGCGCTCTCGCACTTCAACCCATTTATAATTATCAGTAAATCGCCGTGCGAGTGCATGACTGCCGCGGCCGGCGACCGCTCGCCGAAAAGAAAATCACATTCGTTAACCTCGAACCCGAATCTCACGTTGCTCTACACCGAGCCCTTGTTTCACATACGAACGACGCGAAATCCCTAAAATACGTTTAGACAAATATCGACGGAATCGTCACTCCTACGCAATAGATACCGGTGTCGCGAGACGCGTGGAGCCGTCTGTGAATGGATCGTGTGTGTTGTGTGATAAAGATTATGTTGTGCTAGTGATAACAGTGTAGCGATTTTTAAACATGCCTGAGAGACCGAAGCGCCGTAAAAATAATAAAAACAAACGTAATAAAAATAAAAACAATAAGCCAGAAGTGATTAAAAATAATAGTGATGAAAAGAAATTGGACAGTGGTGAATCGTGTAATAGTAAAACCGATAGCAAAGAAGATTTAGTTGAAAATGAATCTGTTGATTTAAAAGAAATTGAACAAGAAATTTTAGAGCCCTCGATTGAAAATGAAAACGCCACAGGTAGTACCTCAAGTAATGTAGTTAATTTGAATGGTGATTTAAATAATAACAGCGAACAAATTATTGAAAATGTGCCGACCTCACCAACAGATAAATGCGTTACTGTTGATGCCGTAGACGCTTCAGCTTACGTCGTAGAAGCACCTGGCCAATCTCGTCAAAGTAAAAGTAAAGTCAAATTATCAAGCAAAAGTAAAAGTTTAGATGATGATGAAGCTACAAAAATTATCGATATCACCGAAGATGTTGCAGTTGAGCCCTCAAATGAAAATGCTTTGGCTTTAATAGAAACTCAAAATGTCATAGTCACCCATGTTGATTCCGATGTGGAGTGGGAGAATGCTGCAGAACTTAATGAAGTTGATGTAAAACAACCACAAGAACTTGTTACGGGTACTTTATCAATTACCTCGATCCCTCTCACTGTGGCGCAATGTGAACAAACGAAATCTCTGACACCTGATGAAGAAAAGTCTTTAAGAAGTTATTTGAATACTCTTAACTTAGCAACTCAACCAGATGGTGTAAATTCTATAGAAATAAAAACTGAAATTGAAGAAATAATAAATCAAGAAATTAAACACAGGTTACGCAAAAAAGCAATGGCTGATGACTTTTTCCTGCACAGGTTGGGACCTCCAAGAATGTTGGACGTCATTGATGAAGAAGGTAGTAGTGGATCATCTATGACTTCAAGACGTCAATCCTATCTCAGTGACAAAAAGAGTGATGTTGAGGACCTGGAGGACGACGTATTTGAGGATAATAAAAGCAAATTAACTAAACAGAAGAAAATGATGTCCACTGCCGTTCACAAGAAATCTTTTGGAAAACTAGTACCTCAAGAGTGTCTCTTAGTAGGTGCTAAAATTAAAGAACCTGAAGTAAGTGAAGCCAGAGGTGATTGGACTGTGAAAACTGTCGAGAAAATGACTGGTGCTGAGGTGGTTTACTTAACAGATACATCTAGTAGTACAAGTTCGCTTCACGAAATCGGCGATGAAGATGATGGTGTCGATACAGATGTGTCAGTACGTATGATTACACCAACGATAGAAGTCACTGACACGGAAAATTTCCTTAAAAAAACGTTTATTTCAAACACTGATAATAAACAACATGTATTTACTAATCCCGATGAAATAACAGAAATACCCATTCAAGTTATGAATAATGAACAGGTCAGTGATAAAACAGAAAAGAAAAATACTAAGCGTATAATAAAGCTGCAGGTAGAAAATGACCAAAATATAAACATGGACGAAAATGTGTCCGAAAAAATGGGTACCGAAAGGGTTGTAGAAGTTATTTATGATAAAGAAATAAAGGAAAACTCTCAAAGTATTGTTCGTGATGACACAAAACCTAATGAACATATAATAAAAATAGCCTTGGAACAAGATGTTAAGAAAAATGACGAAGAAATTAATACCAGTAATAAAACAGACAATCACCGCACCTTAAGACAAGAAAGCGGAAATTGTTCTGAAGAAAGTAAAAATATCGTAGAACATATTTCTAGTCAAAATTCCCATGAAATCGTAGTTTTGTCAACGGATAATATTAAAACTAACTTATACGTCAAAGATATCGAAGAACCTATAAATAAAAATGATAACAAAAAGCAAACAACGCAAAACAAATACGAGTTAGAATCAAAACTCATAAAATGCGAATTTAATGATGCTATAAATAACTTGATTAAGGAAGTTGTTTCTGAATCGGAGGATACAAATGAAAATGCAAAAGAAACATTTTCCCGACAGGATTCCTCAAGCAGTGTGGACTCCTCTCAATGCACGGCAAAATATAACCCTAATTATTCTTCCCTAAATGACATTGTTAGCATGACGCATGATGAAACTACTATGAATAACAAGACAAACTCAGAACAATTGTCTGCCACTGCCAGTCATGTCAAAGATGTATTTGAATGTGTTACAGGAGCCTCACGTCAAAATAAGACCATAGCTGATGATGACACAAAAGAGCCGTTAAAATTGAGAGATTTGTGTGTCAGAAACATAGCAACATTGCCTTATGGTAAGAAAATACTTGAAGAATTAGCGTCTGTGTCAGAACGTTTACAGAATATTGCACTTTACGGAACTACAGCAAAAGTAATAGACAAGAAACCAAACACTGACAAGATGCCACATTACCGGTTACCTGACGTCTCATCAATTGACACGATAACTATACCAGTTAAAACAAAAGATCCCGTACCTCCACCTGTTAAACCTCGACGGTCCTCACTAAGGAAAACGTCACAAGAAGAAGAACACTGGACTGGTGTACCTACAAAAACTGAACCTGTATACGTTTGTCTGTCCCCTTCACAAAAAATGTTGATGGAAAAAACGAATACTGTGATAACAAAAGATGAAGCAAGCCATCTTGTTGATATGCATAGAAAATTTGTAGATCGTCGTGGTTATAATGAACAATACAAAAGTGACAAGGAGAGAGAAGAAAGTGATACCGATAATACTCCAATTATACCATTTAAATCTCAAACTGGAAGCCGTTTGCTGGCTTTGATTCGCGATCCTACTCTCACGAATAATATCAACTCTCTAAACCAAAGATTAAACAGCAGTACAGATGACATTCAAATGAAACGTACTACAACGACATTCATGAAAAGTAATCATGACCGATTTGCAAACAGAGACTTCTCATTCAAGCCAATTCCACCACCACGACCTAAAAAGTACTCATCATCATTTTATGAAAGTGATGAAAGTTCTGATTTTACTGATAGCTCCATGCGCTCAATGAAAAGTGAAAGAAAGTTTTTCCATTACTCTACTGGAAACCTTAATAAAGAAATTGAGAGTGACGTCTCTTCAATCCAAAATATGCATCGTTTCTTTACCGACAAAAGAGACGAGATGAACGACTATAAATGTCCGAGAAGACCTTCACTCCCGAAAGATTTATGTGAACAACAAATGGAATACATCCGTAAAAAAGAAAAGGAAGTAGAAGCCGAAATACAACGTCTCGAAGCTTTAAAAAGTAATATTCCACAGATGCAAAAACAATCTGGGCCCAGAGCACCTCTGATATCTGAAAAGGAAGTAATTGATGAAAGAATAAAAGATTCAAATAACTATTCTATATCGCGTAAAAAAGATGTAGTTATGACGTCTCATGGGTCGGAACCAAAGAAAGGAAAGTTGTCTTCAGTATTCAGTAGTAGCCAGGAAGAATTACTTCGTGAAAAAATGTACTCAGAATACGTATCGCAAATGGCAGAACGTGAGGAAAGGCGGCAACATAAAGTCATTAAAATTACCAATCCAACTCCATCTTCTACAAATCACATAACAATTTCAAAAAGTATGCCAGCTCTTGATATTCTTGATGCTAAAGTCAACAATAGAATCGAAAAAGAGTTCATTTCTAAAGCTAGGGAACGGTGGGATAAGCTAGGTATTAAAGACCCCGAAACTGAAGACGAACGAGAATCTACTAACGTGTATAAAGAGCCTAAAGTGATAGAACATAAAATTAAAGTGATCGAAGGTGGTGAGGAGAAGGACGTTAAAAAGTTACCGAGCCATCTGCAAGAGTTTGTGCGGTTTACGGCTAAAGACACTGAAAAGAGCACGAGCAGCGCTGGTGAGTCCCCTGGACCAGCATCCCCGCATCTTGTGATTATGTGTGCAGTGATTATAATCGTGATAGCCGTTGGCAAATACTTTTTACGTTTGTTGCGAAACAAATGACGACTAACCTAACATTGTGACTGATGCCCTAAATAATTCGAATGCTTTAGTGTGTATTGTTGTGTGTAGCATTGCATGTAATGTTAAACCAAAATTGTAACAAATTGTTTATTGTAGCCCTATCATTAATATACGTAATTACTGGACTATTTAGCGTCATTTATAATTACATCAACATAGTAGACAAAACAGGTAAGTTGTTTACATTTACATTAATAAATTATATTATATAATGTTTTACGTGTCAAACATTTTGCCCTCTACACTTTTCAGATTAAGCATCATTATGTTCCATTTGCTAAATGGAAATGTTCGGAATGAGTCAGAATATTTTACGAACGCATGGGTATGCGTATTGTGTTATATATTTAAACGTATCCAATGAATTTTAAACTACTTCTTATTTCAAAAACACATCTATCACATATTTTATGTTAGAAACATGACCATGTGGCCCCTGCATACGCACACATCGCACTTAGAAACGTAATAAAATATGCTTGTTATTTGACCTACATGAAATAATTAGCATATTTTATTCACACACTCAATTTATTTCACTCTATGTACTTGATTACTAGGTTTCTAAACCCAATAATATTTAATGAGAGCATGAATGAATTTTCATTTTGGATCTGTTTCAAATTACTCCAGTATTTTCGTTTTACGATCCCCATAATGCCTTGGTCTGACTCGCCCGGTATATTCGTCTGACGCAGATACAAATTACACATTATTCCTGATTTCTGTTATGTACGTTCATGACATTGTTCTTGTACCGCATTGTTGTTGAAGCAGCAACGAACACAATTTCAACAGTAATGCGAAATGATAAGGTTGAAAATCTATTAAAGTTCGACGGATCGAGATAGCAGAATGTACAATTTCATGGTTCTCTAACAAAGGCTGAACAGGTGATAGACAGCTGTTCTGAGTCTGCACCACTGCGGACTGCGGTCATTTGATAACTGTTATCAGTTATCACGTATGCACACAATCACAATGATAATTAGATCGGGACAAAATATAATATCGGTTGTGTGTAATTAATCGATAAATATGTTTGTTGCAGGCAATCATAATACTGTCTTATCAGCTTATCTCTAAAGATTGGTATAAACATAAATGATATGGAAATTACGTCAAGTATTCCATAATCTTGGTCTTAATGCAAGGCAAGTGCTGCAATAATTTGTGCGAGCTAAAACGTTCCAACAAATATCTGTGTCGTACAATTTCGCTATATCAGACGAAAATAATTTGCTTACCGAGTGTGGCCAGAGCGTCGTCCGTGAAAATATTTGGATCGTCTAAATCTGTGCTAAATGGCCTTTGGTGACTCAAAGTCGCTAACGCATACCTTGTTATTTGCACTGCTTGTAAATATGAACACATTAAAACTTTGCACAGAGTTACAGAGACGAAACATTACATTAAACTTTGTTACGGCATTCATAATACATTTATTATCAGTTGGAACATGAGTTTACAGAAATAAATCTGCGCTCGATTTACGAGTACCTATTCGGGTAAATTGTTCGTGTATCGATTTTCATTATGTTCGCATTTTCGTGTTTAGTAAAATGTAAAGTCTCGTGGTCTCTATTCCAATGTGTATGTTAAGGCTAAACTTATTTACTTAATTGAATCCTTTCGTTTCGCATAATACTGTTAAAGTATTTTATTGCTTCAATTTATTCTGCAATGCACTGCAATTACAAGTAACAATTATTTTCTTCTACAATTGCATTTTCTTTGTTGGACAATTGAGTCGGTTCTATTGTGTTGGATATTTTGCATAGCAACTGTGAGCTCTTTAAATAAATGTTTAATAAAGAAAGTTCATTGACGTGAACAGTGAGAGTTGTGTAATAATCTTGTATCTAAATTATCAATCACCGTCAATTAAATTGTCCAATCACGGCCGCTCAGCCGAGGGGCAATAACGATGGCATTTCAATTAACATTACTGGCCACTTTATTTATTCAATATAGTAATCAACGTATCCCTCTGTCTTTTAACTGCTGTATTATCGAGCTCCTGGATTTGAAAGTCGATCGGATATAAGTTTAATATTTTTTAATTTCATATTAGTAGAAATAGAATCTTGATAATATTGTTTTATGTTAATAATGTACTACCCTATAGAGCAGGGCTGTCCAAACTAAGGCCCGCGGGCCGCATGCGTCCCGCAGCTTATTTTCATGTGTCCCACGACACACATTTTAATCTCAACATCTTCATCTGTGCAACAACAATAATAATATTCAGTGTATGATTTGTATACAAGTTTTGTCTGTGAGTAAAGAATACAATGTTAAACGTCATTTTACAACTGAAAACATTTATCTGGCCCTTCAGCTTTTGTAACAAATTTAAATAGCCCGCGAGAGTTTATAGTTTGGACAGCCCTGCTATAGGGTACTGAAAATAACGAAACTAACTAAAATGAGTGTACAAATGGCAGATTTACTTTCCTGATAAATATAGTTGTAATTCCACGAGCTCAATTTTCATCACAATAATTTTAACAAAAGAAAGATGTTTAGCATTCCATAGCAAGTTTGGCAATCGATTCTATTAGTTTCTCTAATCGATTCGTTACGAAATCGGATTTGTGTCGGGACGAAGGAATTTTCTTTTATGGGAACATTTAAGTGGCGACTGGAATAACTTTTGTTACAATATGGTTGTATGTTTGTTTTTACGTTTCCCGCTGAAATAAAATTTAAGTCGGTATGAACTCGATACGATAGTTGAGTAAATGTTTTGCGCGAAGACAGGGTCGATAGAAATATTCGTTTGGGTTTTTTTATTACACTAAAGATGCAGGAAAATTTATACTTGATCAAATCGCATAGGTATAAAATGCAGCATCCGTTTACGTAAAACTACATCATAATGTTATTTATACTGCCAGCGAGCTGTCTGTGTACGTGCATTGCTAATATTTATTTATCTTCCTACGCTTTGTTTTTACTGGAAAAATTCTATTACACCTAGTCGTAGTCTGAGATGTAAATTCTTAGAAATATCTAGATTTAATGTCACCTTGTGTTGTTGGGATAAATATATTTATTGTACTTTATCTAATGGCTCTAGCTTCGCTCAGGAGGTATTTTATCCTGGAAATCCCAGTGGGATTTCCAATTTTTATATAGGTAACAACTACAAGAAGAAGCAATTATCCAATTTGAGTCAGTCCTTTCGTAGTTACATATATAGGTATAATTGGGATGATGACAGGGTACGAAAATTAAAAATATAATTAGTCCGTAAGTTAGAATATGAAAAAAAATTTAGATTCGTGTTTTTTATACGTATAATAAAACAATACTTAGATAAAACGAATCAAATTTTAAGAGTGCGGGCTAAATCGTCATGTCTGCGTATAAAATGTACATAGAAGTGACGTCACGTGACATTTTAAATCAATAAATCGTGGAAAGTATTCGTTTCTGTAAGAAAATAAAAAATACGTGTCTAATGATTTAAAATAATCTACCAGACGGACATTAAAATAAAAATTAAACATCTACCCTATTATTCATTTGTACCCTATTATTCATCACCAAATTTATCATTTATGACCATCGTTTGTTTATACATAACACACAACATAACATAACATCACGCCTTTTATCCCCGAAGGGGTAGGCAGAGGTGCACATTATGCCACTGTATGTACAATGTAACACCCACTTTTCACTATTTATGTTATGAGTCCCATGTAATAGGGGGTGAGCCTATTGCCATATACCGGGCACAATTCCAGACTCCGTGCTACTACTGAGAATTATTTAAAAACCCAGTAATACTTTGCCCGACCCGGGAATCGAACCCGAGACCCCTTGCCTGGCAGTCGCACTTGCTACCACTCGGCCAACGAGGCAGTCAACGTTTGTTTATACCTGAAAGGATTATACATTGATACATTCAGTAGTTGCTTTAGTTTTTTGTTTACAAAAAATATTGACAACTAGTTTCCGCTATACCTTCGCATGCGTTCCCGTGAGAGTAGCCTATGTTTTATTCCATTCAAAATCACGGTAACATTGAAGCAATAATTAGGTAACTATATAAACACAATAAATAAGTTGTACAGTGTATACTATGACTGCCTCATTGGCCGAGTGGTCGCAAGTGCGACTGTCGGTTAAGGGTTTTCGGGTTCGATTCCCGAGTTGGGCAAAGTATTACAGGGTTTTTAAAAAAACCTCAGTATTAGCATGGAATCTGGAAATGTGCCCGATTTAGAGCAATAGACTCACCCCCTATTGCATGGGACTCATTACATAAAATGTGAAAAGTTGGTGTTACATTGTACAGTGGCATTAAGTGCCGTAATATGCACCTCTGGCTGCCCCTTCGGGAATAAAAGGCGTGGAGTTATGTTATGTTAAGTTGTATACTATATCAAAAAGTTGGCCTGTAGATCAAACCCAGTTAGACTCAATGACCACAATATATGTAAAAAACAGTATAAGAACATTATCTTCTGTATTTCGAACATTTTCAACAATTTACTTCCCTTCTTACCTCTACAACAGAGCAAGTGTAAACTGTTTACGTTACAAACTGGCAGTATCTGGAAATAGTTGGTATCTACGGTATTAAGTTGGGATAAAAATAACACATAAACACTCCATACTCCATTCATTATTATACTAACACCTTATAGTTTATTGTTAGGTACTTTAAAAATATATTTAGGGTCTTGTATGTACGTTCATGTATGGAATGGATGGATGGATGGATGTCGTCGTGGCCTGGAGGTTTAAGACACCCGCTACTCATGCATGAGGGTGCCGGTTCGCAACCTACCAATGGCAAGAACTAATGTTACTTTTTCCGAGTTATATGTACTTTCGAAGATTATTTAGACACCACTGACAAACGGTGAAGGAAAACATCGTGAGGAAACCTGGGCTTATAATTTCTAATTATACTTTGTAATCACCAACCCGCATTGAACAAGCGTGGTGATTAATGCTGAAAC